AGATAGGCCCTCCATCTTCTATACCGACCACGCGTCGCTACGCACGGCCGTCAACAGTCCACACCTCTCGCAAAAAAGGCGAGGTGTCTGTCTTTCTTCGCGGAGTACAACTTCTCCTTCAATTATACCCAGGACGACTTAATGTCGTCGCTGATGCTTTTTGCGTCGGTCCCATTTTAAGTCGACTGCTAGGGGTGACCCCGCTGTTGCAACACTATCAGTGAGGATTCCGTTGTCGAAGCTGCTCGACGACGTGCGGAAAGCATATGCAGAATATGAGTCTCTTTTGCGATTGATGGACTATGTATCCAATCCATGCAGTCAAGCTTTAAAAAGCTTAACGTCTCAATACCGCTCTTCAACCGAACGATATTCGGTTCGTGATGGACTGCTGTACTATCTGCAGTCGCCGGCAACACACCTCGTGTCGTTGTTCCCGCTCATTATGATTTGCTATTGCGCATCATGTATGAATGTCACGATGCCCCAACAATTGAGCATCGTTGTTGAGAAAAAAATTACCTCACGGTAAGTCGTGAATTCTACTAGCCCCGCCATTTTGAGTTTGCGCGCAAATACATTCGCGCTTGCAAGGTTTTGTTAACGGGTGAAGCCTATTCCTTCATCCCGTACAACCTTGCAGTCTCTAACGATTCTGGTTGAGTGCTGGCATTTCGTATCGATGGAATTCGTCTTGAAGTTTCCCAAAGATGCTCACAAAAATACTGACATTCTTGTGTTTGTCGATAGGTTCAGCAAGATGATACATCTTGTTGCTGTGCCTAAGTCAATCACAGCCCAGAGCTGTGCTCGTGTCTTCATCGATACTATCTTACGACTTTACGGGTTACCCCGTGAACTTGTGACTGACAGGGACCCCGGTTTACGGCGGAGTTATGGCAATTTGTGTTCTGTTTACTTGGAACACGGTTGTAGATGTCGCTTCTGACCATCCAGAAACAGCTGGTCAGACGGAACGCGTCAAATGCGTCCTCGAAGAGATACTTCGAGGGTACGTCCACTCGTTTAAGAGTTGGAGTGAGTTCTTGCCGATGGCGGAATTCGCCATCAACAACTCGGTGCACGCGTCGACAACGCATACACCGTTCTTCGTGAATGGCCTACGCCATTCACGTTTACTCCGCTTTTTTTAAATTGTGACTCTAGCTTAAGGGGGATAGATGAAATTTCTTGAGCAAATCGTTCTGGTTCTGTATCATCACACGTCGACAATGGTGTCGACGTGATGGATGCCGATCACATCGTCATCGACATCGATGATGACGATGAGATGGTATATGCAACATCACCAACAATTGCTAGAGTGAGGATGATGATGTCCTCACTGGTGAAGACAACGTTCTTTCAGCAGTGCACACAAAGCGCACTGCTGTTGACAAGGATGAATCAGCAGAAGAATTTCTGCTGACTCGCGAAGCGGTTGTTTGCCTCGTACAAGACTCTATTGCAGATGCAATAAGCAAGCAGAAAAGAAACGCAGAAAAGCATGGAAAAGAGAAGTATCTTACATTTGATTTAGTGGACTTAGTATTTCTGTCTACAGTAAAAATACCAAAACACATAGTGAAATTGGTGGGCAACAGAAAACTACTGCCCAAGTATATCGGTCCATTTCGTGTATTGCGCCGCATGGGCAACGCATACACGATTGAACTGCCTCGTAGGATGCGTACGCATCCTACGTTTTACGTTGGACGTCTCCGTCCGCACTGTCAGTACGAGCCCGTTTCGAGAGGCGAAGAACACCTCCGCGGTCAAGGGCCGAGACCACCTTCAAGTGGTCCCGTTTCAGCGAGCTAGTCTGGTAGAATAGCGAAGCAAACTTCTCACGCAATTGAGAGATGTACTGACGAGCTGCAGTCAGCTCATCACGACAATAATGAACCAAACGTTGTTCTTAAGTTGTGCAAACGCAAACGCGGCACGATCGTCCGTACTATCGTGCGCTAAGGAATTGTCATTATCCTTTACGAGGTCATGGAGCTCGTAACAGCGAGTCCGTTCATGAGCCAGGCCATCGGGTAACAGTTCCGTTACACGGTTCTGTTCCTAAATATCAAGCTGATCCGACCCTCGAGCCAGATCAGGTGTTCCTGCCGCCACCAAATCCTTTGGTGGACTCATGCGGTGGTCAACGCTTTCTGGTAGAGCGTTTTTTAAATCGCCGCGCCTTGAAAGGAGTCCGGACGAGATACCCCATCCACTGGCGTGGCTATCCACCAGCCTGGGACAGCCGGGAGGTTCGCGTTCAGCTGTTTGTTGCTGTTTTGGGTCTCGTCGAGCAATATGACGAGACCCATCTGCTGCGTTCGAAGAAGGGCTGTCGAAAAACGACCTTCCCGAGCGCGAGTACTGGGATTGCAAGTTGTCAATCCCTTCGGCCATCTCAACATAGATGCGCGCGCTTCAGAAGAAATCACTAGGGAGGTAGACCTGCCTAGGGGCATGGCTACCATTGTCCATACACCCTGGACATGGGTTGTCCCACGGAAGACAGGGTAATTCTGACTCTCTTGGCAGTCGGTGCAACTTGTAATGTACCCCATCTGGGTAACGCTTTTCAAACCTGATGCGAGCTGCATCAAGATTACTGAGCCAGGCCTCATGGCAAATCACATAATGTTATGTATGAAGGCATCATATCCCTGCACCAAGGCCTTACCGTCGCGGCCACGGTTGCCGTTGTACAGCCGATGTTTGAAGAGCACATCGGTATAGAATTCTTCCTCGGCACGAACATTTTTCGTGCTAGAATCAGGAGAACAGATATTCCAAAGGTCGAATATGGAATTTGATCCCGTTCGGTCGTCATACCGGCCACTCGATCCAACTCCTTGGATGATGGCATCCAAGGAGACGCCACTTGAGGAGCATAACGCAGGACGTTTCGGTCCTTGGCCTCTTGAGTGGTGTCAGCATGAACACTGACACCAGTAGCAGCTCGATGCCTTAAGGTGATTCTTTCGTGGTGACGCGTAGGTGCTTTACTCCCATGACCACGCGTCCTAGTGTCCAATGGACTTAATTGAGACGAGTATTCGCCAGATGGATTGCTTGATCCGAAGATCTTGGACATGATAGCGCCATGTTTGTCAGAGCCAGTCACCCTGGCTCTGTCAGTGTCCGCGCCGGACAATACGGAGGCAGGAGGCACTGCCTTCAAATCAGATGCGTCATCCGAAATCTCCAGAATCGATGAATTCTGTATCAGGATCATACACATTGCGAGTTGCAGCACCCGCTGCAGACGCAACAGATGCATTTGTCGCACGTGGTGATTCACCGCGTGGACTAGTCGCAACAGGCAATGTATGTAGCTCACTTGAAACAGCAGGTAAACGACCATCTGCTGCTAGGGCTATGAGAGTACTCTCTCCGGCTGCACGCATGCGTGCAACCGCCTTCCTGGCTGCTTCAGCAACACACCGCATGGACTTTGACAACGTGCAACGAAATGGCTAACGAATTGAAATTTAACCAATATGTGCTACCCTTTCAAGAGAGATCCAACTGCGATCACCCTGGACTAATCAATAACAATTAACTAATGAATGATTAATAGTTAAGGGGAGGGAACAGGGTAGATTGTTACATGATATTGACACTAAACAGTGTCAATAGAAAGATTGTCTATCGTGACAATCTTCTGCCAATTTTACTCGAGATGGGTAAGATTGAAGGAATAGTGTCCAATTTTGAAAATATAAATTTGCTGCTCGAAATTGGTTGATAAAGTCATATCAATCAAGATGACCACTGATCGCTGCTAGACGCGCGTAATGAGTGGTGAGCAGGTTGTCGTCATACGACAATGTAGTTCGATAAAGGCTGAAGTTATATTGATAGATAAACTACACCAAATACAGTTCTCTTTTTACCTTTACTCAAACTAGCTGTTTGAGTGGATTTACCGTCTTCTGCACGTACTATTGTACGTGATGTGTCGTGGCACCCCAAACAAAGGTTGCCCTGTTATAGTTGGGTCAAAACGAGCGCGGACTCAATTTTCTTTATCTTATCGGAGCTTTGGGGACGATAAGAAAGGTAAAGTGGCCTTATTTATGGACCCTAGGCCGGCTACGGAGGAAGAACGGTGGCACCCCATACTCTGAACTAAACGGGTCGGGTGCCTAATGGTTGCTGAGGTGCTATCGTCAGCATCTACGCTCCAACTATCTTCCATTAGCGCTAGCAATTTTTTTTCTCAACCGAAAACTGGCCCTGGCCTTCGTGAGCCATTTTTATTGCAGGCGACTTGGAATGCGTACATGGTCCACTTTTAGATCACTTGGGTGGCACAGGGACTAGGCGTTCGGAGAGCCCGACATTATACAAATTCATTAGCATATAAGAGCCAGACGACGCAAGAACTTAAGCGGAACCTATGGATGAAGAGGAGCCTCCAGACTTAACAGAGTAATCAACATATTATACTATTTATACAACTATTAGAATAAATAGATTCTACGTCTCTTAACTGTGGACGTCTCGTGTTCAATTTGGGTGAAGTTACCGAACCTCCTGTCGATTCTGACCATCTCCAGGGGTCGCTGATACTCACGCAAAGCCTCTCAAACATTTTGGTGGCCCGTACAAGGTAGACAGTAAATTATCCAATTTAGTCTTCACAAACAGTACGCATTCGGGCAGCACCACTTGAAGAAGCTGGTAGATGTTGAAGGTAATCGAGTACGAGATCAAGGCGCAAATCAACTGGCTACAGATTGTCTCAAGGAACTTTACAGTCACGGTTCAACTGGCTGGATCGATTTGCATCAGATGTATAGTCATGGTGCAAGTACACAAGTACCGGTTAAAGTGTAAACGATTCAATTGTATGATGAGTGGATACGAAGAGCAAAGGAGCTTCAACAGCTAGGGAGAGCATTAACAAACCACTCAATACAATTTCTCACTGATGTATTTGACCACTTCTGCAACAGTATATCGCAAGTTTAACTCTAAAGTATTATCAGGTCATGAGTTTAACAACGTTCGACAAGGTCGACAAGTTCGACGGTTCCAAATACCAGTTATGGAGTTTTAAGATAATTATGTACTTACGGTCTCGGGGACTGTGGGGTCAAGTGGATGGGAGCTCGCCGCCAGACCGTGCGCTGATGGAGCAAGAGCATGCGGCAATCGTGCTGAGTCTTACTGACTCGCAGGTGCTACACGTGCTCACGACGGCGACGGCTATGCACGCATGGAACACGCTGCAGCGCCTTAACGAGTCTAAGGATATGGCTAGTCGCATGTGGTTGAAAGAGAAGTTTTCGACGTTTCGCTACACAGCGAGCTCGATGTAGAAGCATTTCGAGGAGCTGGAGGCTCTTTTTTTGCAGATGGGCGGCGCGGGGTGCCGTCCGGATGAAGAAGACGTGTGTGCGACGCTGCTACGCAGCCTCCCAGCGTCGTTCGAAGGTTTGGTGCAGGCGTTCCGTATGAGCGTCGGCAGGTTCACGTACGGAGACGTGATGAGTCGAGTGTTGGCGGAGGACATTAGACAGAAGGAGCAAGGCCGCATAGAAGAGGAGACGGCAATGTTATCTGGAAGAGGAAGACAAGAATGGAAGAAGAAGACATTCGACAAGCGTGGGATCCAGTGCTATCAGTGCGGAAAACGCGGTCACTTTAAGCAATAGTGCTTAAACGGAGATACTGAGACACACGAATCAAACGTGGCGTTCCATGTCACGACTGCCCATGGGGGCGTATGCCGTGAGTGGGTGGTCGACTGTGGAGCGTCAAACCACATGTGTGCATCGAGGGGTGCATTTGTGGATTATCGTGTTGATCACAGCAACCGCACAGTGTCAGTAGCCAAGTCTGGCGTGACGTTACGAGTGCTTGGTGTTGGAACGGTCGTGCTTGACTTAAATTTTTATCCTACGATCCAGTCGGTTGTCCAACCGACTGGATTGGTGTGCGCTCGACTCGAAAACACACTGCACGTGGAGAATTTGAGTCGCAATTTGTTTTCAATACCGGCGATCTTGGCTAAGGCGAAGCATATCAGCATGGACATCAACGGGTGTGAGATCTACCGGAACGGCAAGGTCGTTGGAAGCGGCACGAAGAGAGGTAATCTTATTTACCTTAACGTTGCCAATGACGCTGAGTGTCATGTAGCCTCTGAAGTAGGCGACCTATGGCACCGTCGTTTCGGACATGCGTCGCACGACTCGGTCGCAAAGGTCCTTGCGAAAAACAAGATCTGTACTGGAAGTATTAGCAATAAGTTATGCAATGTGTGCGAGCTTTCAAAGCAAGCACGAAAACCGTACCCAACGCACGATACTGGTGTGAATGTACGATCGGATATCGTATGCTCAGATGTACTTAGACCAATCAGCCCTGCGTCTCGATCCGGATGTGCGTACGCAGTGACGTTCATTATGATGAAGACACGCTTCGTGAAGGTGTATCCGGTAGTGCGAAAGTCAGACGTGCTATCTAAGTTCATCGAATTCCGACAGTACATGAAGACACAAGCGGGAGTGAGTGTGCGCACTATTCGCAGTGAAAATGGAGGGGAGTACACCTCAACCGACATGAAGACGTACTGCGCGCTGAAGACTGTCAAACAGAAATTTATGATCCCGCACAACCCTCCGCAAAATGGTATGGCCGAGCGTGCTAATCGGACGCTGGTCGAGATGGCTCGATGCATGCAAAAAGACAGGGATATGGAGAAGACATTATGGGCGGAGGCTCTGGTGACTGCCGCGTACATTCGCAACACAATCAGCACGGCGACGCGTACTCACAATACGCCATTTGAAGAAACGTTTAATCGTCTTTTCGCTTGCGGCAGTCTTCGCGTGTTTGGCACCGAGTGCTTTGCTCACGTACCAAAGACAAAGAGATCAAAGCTTGACGACAGCGGTGTTCGATGCCGTATGCTTGGGTACCTCGAAAATCAGAAGGGGTATCGCCTACTGAACGCATCAACGGGCCATATAATGCACTCGCGAAGCGTCACAATCGATGAATCTGCGCGTGAAAAAGTGAAGCCAGAGACTGACGAAGATGTCGAGTCAGATGGACACGAGACCAAACTGACAGATACTAAGTTTCACGGTTCAGTAGATGCGAATTTGAACGACAACGGTGCGCGCGGGATGGCAAGCGAACATCAGATCGTGCATTGCAATTACCCTCAAACGCATCAGCTTCAAGTAGTTGATCCACGGGGATCAGAATCCTTACCCGGTTCCACCAGTATTCAGCCACACGGTAATGCTGAAGTTCAAGTTCAAGGTCATCATCAACTAAATGGATGTACCGACATAGTGCTTACGGATCTGGAAGAGAGCATGTCACCTCGAATGACTGGTCGACAGATGATTATTAGCAAGCCGTCTGATACTCCTGATCGAGACGGCTTAAATCAGCGACGGGTGCGACCTGCGCGGAAGAGGCGTGGTATACTACGCTATGAAGACGAGTTCAATGGAATGCGTCGTATGGATTCTAACGAGGCAGACTTGGAAGACGAGTTTGATGGTCTGCATTGCTACTCAACTGCATTGAACAATGAGAAAAAGACAACGTACGATGGTATCATGCAGTCTGAATTGAAGGTTCAGTGAAACGCGGCAATGGATGCTGAGATAAAATCACTGTCACAGCATAAGACGTGGGAGTTGGTCGAACTTCCACCAGGAAAGAAGATGATCGGCAGCAGATGGTTGTTTAAGGTGAAACTGAATGCAGATGGCAGCATAAACAAATTCAAGGCGCGTCGGTCGCTCAAGGATTTACACAGCAGTTTGGAGTCGATTTTAATGAAACATTTGCGCCTGTCGCTAAGCAAACAACTGTGCGCGCCGTCTTGTCGATTGCAGCTGGTGAAAATCTGGATGTAGAACAGGTTGATGTCGACACAGCTTATTTGTGTGCACCGATCGACGATGAGCTGTAAATCAAGCAACCAGACGGCTATGAAGATAGACGCACCCATACAAGGTCCGCCGATTGCTCAAGAGCCTATACGGGACAAAACAAGCAGCACGCCAGTGGAATAAAAACTCTGGACGATTTTTTTGGTGCCCATGATTTTGTACGAGCCGATGCAGACCCGTGCTTGTATACGCGCATCAGCAGTAGAGAGTATTCAGCGGTCGTCGTCTACGTCGACGACATGATTATTGTAAGTAAAACACAAGATGGCGTGCGCAAGATCATCAAAGATCTCAAGTCCGCGTTCAGCATCAAGGAGCTCGGAGAGCCACGATTTATCCTTGGTATCGAAGTAACTCGTGACCGGACCAACCGCACCCTTACATTGTCGCAACGCAGGTGCATTCAGCAGCTCGGTGAAAGGTTCCGAATGAAAAATGCAAAGCCCATTTATTTACCGGCCGACGCGAATTCGCGCTTAACACGTGCCACTGAAGGCGCTCAATGCATCACGAATGTACCGTACCGAGAGCTGGTCGGATGCCTTTTGTACATCGTTACGTGTACAAGATCCGATATTGCGGATTCAGTCTGCAGTGTGGCCAAGTACTGTAAGAACCACACGAGCGAACACTGGTCGGCGGCAAAGCGTATACTCAAGTACCTGTTAACGACTCAAGATATCGCGTTGGTGTGTGATGGTCATTTGGCAACCGAGCTAATAGGCTTTGCAGATGCGAGCTGGGCTTCGGATGAAGACACTAGGCGTTCCACAACTGGTTATGTGTTTATCCTGAATGGTGCAGCTATCGCGTGGCGTTCGCAGCGACAGCCGACAGTCGCAGGTTCTAGTACAGAAGCAGAGTACATGAGCCTGTACTCTGCCACTCAAGAGATGATATGGCTGAGGCGGTTGCTCAAGGATCTGTGTATGTACAACGATGGACCGACGACAGTGTATCAGGACAACCAAGGAGCTATTGCGCTAGCACGGAATCCATTGTACAACTCGCGAACAAAACACATCGACACTAAGTACCATTTTTAGAGAGAACGTGTCGAGTCGAGCGAGCTACATGTCGAGTACATATCAACGGCAGATATGGTAACCGATGCGTTAACAAAGAGTGTACCCCGCCCAAAGCTTGAGAACTTCAAGTTACAGGTTGGGTTGAAGAAACTTGATCGCGGATCGTTTGAGGGAGAGTGTTGAAGGTAATCGAGTACGAGATCAAGGCGCAAATCAACTGGCTACAGATTGTCTCAAGGAACTTTCCAGTCACGGCTCAACTGGCTGGATCGATTTGCATCAGATGTATTGTCATGGTGCAAGTACACAAGTACCGGTTAAAGTGTATACGATTCAATTGTATGATGAGTGGATACGAAGAGCAAAGGAGCTTCAACAACTAGGGAGAGCATTAACAAACCACTCAATACAATTGCTCACTGGTGTATTTGACCACTTCTGCAACAGTATATCGCAAGTTTAACTCTAAAGCATAATTAGTAGACAGGAATTTGGGACCATCTGTGACGGCAAGGACGTGAAAAAAAGGCATGGTTCCTAATTGTGCCGCGGCGATAACAGTGGGTCGTGTGCGGGACAAACAGCGCAGCAAAAGGTGTGCAAAAAAGCTACACGGTCAGTCAAGAGCGGGCCTCTGTACAAGGGGGCCGTTTGTCCTGACCAACTTGGATACACTCCGGGCGGAAAACCTGATTCGAGAAGGAGATTGATTAAAACGCACGACAGAGCGATTACGATGGAAATTTAGGAAGATGGCCGAAAAGAGGAGGACCAAACGACCACTTGCATACAGCAAATTCACGGCAAGGCCTTTCCACGAAACGCCATCATCGCTGACAACTTCGCAACGGAGTGGCTACTAATCCTGGGGTGCTGTCACGATTCACTATCGGAAGAAACCTTCTAGCACGAACGTCCGGGCGTTCGTTACGATACCAGTGGAACGCACATTAACACAGGCGGATAATAAGTGCTTACTTCGACCAGTCCATCTCTCCGAAATGATTGCTGCATTTATCGGGCTGCACAAACACAAAGCAGCAGGGTCGGATGGACTTTACACGGGCTTTACATTAGCAATTAAGCCATACTGGCTCCTATCATGGTAAAGATTGTCAATATGTTACTACGCGGAACGGATACACCTCCACCCTGTCAGAAAGGGATGATTATATCGCTTCGAAAGAAAGGAGACTTTGTTAATGCATTGGACTACATGCCGATATCTGTGCTCCAAACAAAACACTAACAATTTGAAAAAGTTCTGACAACTTGCCTGCAACCCAGTATGAACCCAACTGTAGGCGATACTCAGCAAGGAATCGTATAGGGGCACCAAATAATGATGACAGTGGTGATGATGCTGGAAGTCTTACCCACAACCCGAAACGAAGCGGAAGTAGCAGTATATAACAGCCGGATGATTTTGCTGTTGGATTCTCGGAACGAGTACGATACTGTCTCGCGGGATTGTCTGTTTCGGGTCCTGGAACGATTTGGCTTCTCATAGGCGCTGATTTATATCATGCGTAAGCTTCACGATAACACGACAGCACGATTCATAAGAATGAAATTCTACCTCGACCGATAGAGGTGAAGTCGTGAATTCGACAGGGCTGCCCGCTCGCGCCTTTATTGTTCATGTTGGCAACTGGAAAATTGAAGGTTAGCGATAACGTAAGACTCTAAGCTGAAGGGCATCTTGGTACCAGGATCAACGGGCGAACGTAACACTTTCTCAGCGTTTGTCGATGATTCGACAGCAGTTGTCAAAAACGCTAAACGGGTTTTGAATTTGATGTAAATTGTGGCTGCGTTTAAAACGATATCAGAGCTCACGTCGCAGCCAACAAAAAGCCATGTCATGTTTTAAGCACGTCTGTAGCCGTGTTGGTGTATGCTGAATTGCCGGTGATTTAAACAGGAGAAAGGAATCTCTACCTCGGACATCAAGGTGGAACTGTGCATCTGGAGGACGCTCACTGGACAAATAGGATCCGCAATGTGAGGTGACGACTGGCGGCGGCTAGCAACGGCATCTTGTGTAGTGACAAGTGTCGCTCTCAGAGCGAAGATATTGAATGTCATTTCGCTACCCGGGACACTCTTCACAGTGGCGGTATGTGACTTCCCAAATGGGCGGACCGAAAGATTTGCAATCTTCAAAACCATTTTATGTGGTGGCACTCGCTATCATTAATGAAAATCCGACACAAACACAATCAAGGGCTACCGTACGTACCAAAAGCGAATGTAATTATTGATTTGATCTTGGTCGCCGTGACGGTCAAGGCACCACGTGTAAAACATGCCTTTCTGTGGTTGACGCAACAGACAGAACGGTATAGAGCGGCCTGGAATCAGTGGAACTTTCGGGGGTCTTCAGAATTTAATAAACAGGTCGTAAAGCCGCACGACCCGATTCAGTCACGGTGCCAGTACCAGCAGCTATCCGGAGCATCCATACTGTACCGGGGTAGCCTGTTACATGATATTGACACCAAACGGTGTCAATAGAAAGATTGTCTATCGTGACAACCTCCTGCCAATTTTACTCGAGATGGGTAAGATTGAAGGAATAGTTTTCCCTTTGTAGAAATTTAAATGTGCTGCTCGAAATTGGTTGATAAAGTCATATCAACCAAGATGACCACTGATCGCTGCTGGACGCGCGTAATGAGTGGTGAGCAGGTTGTCGTCATACGACAATGTAGTTCGATATAGGCTGAAGTTATACTGATAGATAAACTACATCAAATACAGTTCTCTTTTTACCTTTTACCCAAACTAGCTGTTTGAGTGGATTTACCGTCTTCTGCACGTACTATTGTACGTGATGGGTCGTGGCACCCCAAACAAAGGGTGCACCGTTACACATATGGACAAACATAGGGGCCTTGCTTTAGCCACAATAGATTGAACACGAGGGGCTCACGAACAGACATCACTTTTATATAATCTTTTACTTTCAAACTTTATGGGATAGAGGGTAGGGAGCAGCTGAAAATATCTATGCATACGCTATTAACAGCACTCACTTGAACAACTTTAACGAAGAAAAACGGGTCTGGACAACATACCAGTCGAGACGACACTGGAAAGAAACTGACAAGGAGGAAATATGACCGTATACGGCCTTGTGCACTCGGTGTCTTGAACATTGAGTAGGCACGACTTACCGTCTATTTCTCGTCTCCACCGTCCCATACGGCGGCGCGCCATATGAATCGCAAACTGATGTAGTGGTCACTCGCGATGTTAATGTGTAATGCCTCATCAAACGTCACTGGAAAATTGTAGTGCACCAAGTCCTTACATTGCGGAATACACCGGGCTTAAGAGATCGATCGTTGTTCCCTTGTGGAGCGTGACATTGTGGAATCCACCAACTCAAAGGATTCATCGTTGGGCCCTTGTGGAGCCTGGAATAAAACACAGCGTGGCTGCAATGGCGTAGGAAATTGTACCTGGAGTAATCATATTAAGACAGGAACCCAATGGCTTCCACTGGAAAATTGATCAGTCTTCTTCCACTTCCTTGGAGTGTCGGCTTGATGTGGCGGACCTCCGTCGAGCGCAGCATGAACATGTTCTAGTCGTTAAGGATCACCCGGATATCCATGCTTTTCCGTGGTAGGTCCCGCTGACCACATCCAATCG